ATATACACCAGTTTTACTCTTGTTTATTAAATATAGAAACATTTGAAGCAAACAAAATAAACACTTGCTTTAGTGAGCTGAGGGAAATGGTATAGGGCACCTTGAGGTCAGACTCCTGCATGGTTGTGGTTCTGGTAAAAAGTTGCTGTCGTTTATGTTTTTGTGACTTCAGTACACTTCTCATACTGTATTTAGCTTTGTGCAACACATTGTAGCAGCGACTTATATTAAAATCCTTCATGGCAGACTAAACAAAGGTTTTCCTTTGAAATTCTGTGATCAGATGGACTATCTCCCAAATATTTGTATTTATTTTACTTGGGATCTAAAAGCTACTTTTTGTTTTTTATAAGAGCAGTCGCCTGCAGGCCAGGTGTGGCCCGCGGGCTGCCAGTTGCCCATCCCTGATTTAAAACTACTCTTATGAAACTGTAAAACTTTTAATTATCACTAACATTTTTTCTAGAGTTTGCTTTCTTTTTCTGAAATAATCAAGATATTATTTTGAAATCTTCCTGTAATCGACAAATGTTTGTCAGAAAAATGTTTCACCATCACATGAACATCACCTGCTGGTAGAAACACAGGTAGTATTTAGTGACGTTGCTGTTCACTGCTTCTTGTTTACCTTTTAAACGACAATGAAAGTGTGGTCGCTGGTCTGAAAGCCCCTCCTAACTGCACTTTGCTCTGCTGTGGCTCTTATCTGCTGTTACTGCGAAAGATTAGATTGGAACTAAAAACAACAACAAAAAAAATGTTTTTCAGTGAAGATCGATCTAGGTGTTTTTATTTCACTTTCAACAAACAAGATTTTTTTTAAATTTGAAAACAATAATTTCATTGAACTGGAGACGGTTCCTCTGTCACAAACCCTGCTGTGTTGTGCCACCATGAAGTGGCAGGATGTTAGCATTAAAACCTGGACACAGCACACACAGGCTGTTTGCATGTAAATACATTCATGTCTTCATTTGTACGTTCAGACTGAAAGGATGACAGCTTGAAGAACAGTATAGGCTTGGTAAATAGGCCTGAGTTTACTACAAACAGCTCTGAAACTCTTAAAGGGATCCATGATTAGTCGTAACATGAGACTTTATCACCATATATATGTATTAGCTCAGCGCTACACATTCTCCTCTCGTCACTGAGGTCCTCCATCCACATGACAGAGAGGGGAACACAAAAATG